GTGTTTCTCAGGAAGTTGAGATCGTTTCAGAATGCTGTCAGGTATGCTGGGGTAAAAGTATAGATTGTATTGTAAAGCGCATAGAGCTTGCTGTTGAGCTGGCATTGGTGCTATTCAAATTATACTATCTATTATTTAAATCGTTGAGCGTTACAATGGGGTGACGCTTTTATAGAAGACCGTTCGCCTTCATCGACACAATTTAAATCATTTAGGAGGCGGGCTTCATCCTTGCCTGTCAGGGCCACCTGGAGGTCGAGGGATAGAACGTCCCAACAGATGGACCGAGATCTTCTCCTTCTTCTAAGCTCTTTCAGTGACTGTACGTCCTTCTCGGAGTCTCCTTCAATAAAACACTCTACCACTTACCATTCTACCTGCCCGAATTGTTTTGGTTCCCAGCCAGGTTTCTATATATTGTACCTATCCACTATTAGGTCCCCCCCCCTTCCTCTCTTGCCTTCTACCTTTGCTTCTACCTTCGGGCATGTTTCTCGAGTGAGACCCTCGATTTAAATTCTCCACACACTGAAATCGAGCTCAGGTCTTCTGCGTGAGACGGCAAACTTCCTAACCGCTACCCGGCAGACGCCAGTAAGGCTGATTACAACCGCCTCCTTATGTTGTTTTTTTCCTCAATAATTGTTCACTTTATCATTTCCCTGGCGTCTTTGTCTTCAGGCGCTTCGCCGTTGCACGCGAAGGAATGAGTTCGATACTCGTGTAGGGAGAATTTTCATCGAGTGTATTAGTGTGTACTAGGACACTGCATCCCTCTCAGTCTTGGTAGGCAGGGTGGGAGCAACACGCCTCTTAATATTATCTTAATCTTGTTAGTGGGGCCGAGAAACATTTACAATTAAATGTACAATTTCTATCGTTTTCCTGAAGACGGCACAGGATCAGAACAGACACACAGACAGGTATCCTGGTGGATAGACAGACTGAAAATGTTCTCCACAAAAAAACCCCAGACAGATAGATAAACTGCAACAAATCTGTCCGATTTCCATGTTCAGACGATGCCAATGACATCATACATCGACTCCGGAGTATTGCTCAGAGCTCTACCCCAGCCGCACCCACCCCCATCCTGTCCAGACCTCGAAGTGTGAGCCCCACGAGGAACAGGTAATTCTTACTTTCTCTGTTTATTTCTCTTCTTATTCTTCTTTTGAAGAGAATTGAGCATATTATCTGTTTAATCATTGACTGCAAGCAAACCTTGTTACTGTTTACGTAACATAATCGTAACTCATGTCTTTCTACAATTGCAAATAAAAGCTACATGTTCTGAGCTTTCCGAGACATTAGCCCTTTCTCTTCCTCGTCTCCTTTCTCCACCACCTTCTCCTCTTTTTCTTCTTCCTCCTCCTCCTCGTTGTCGTTGCAAGGCAAACTGTCTTGCTCTCTTATCTTTGTGCACTCTAAAACATTCCTTATTTGCCACGCTGCTCCACCCC